AAATGGAAAAAAAAAAAAAAAAAAAAAAGTAATTCACTCGCAAGCATATGGATATACTAACAGAGCAATACTAACGTGAAAAAAAAACAGAAAAAGGTTCGGTTATTTGATTAAAGAGAGATAAATGCACGTTTGGTTCGTCATTTATTGATAGATATGACCTCATAAGAAAAGAAAGAAAAAAACGATGTTTCCAGCTTCTGGTCAAGAACATTCCGCCTAAATTAAAGGTAGTAGAATTGCACACTATTGATCCTTAAATAACAAATGTATACAAATCAGATGAAGGACAAATTCCTATGGAACTAACACCAAATAGAGATTTTATAACACAAATCTGTTCTACCACAAACACATATATTTAGGTGCAAATTAAAAAGAAATGCTTCCGTTGGAACTTTTATCAAATATATTATGTTTCCTGAATATTGACGCAACAGATGAAACAAAAGAAATATCCAATACCAAAAATGCAATTAAGGGTATCAAACAATCAATCAAGAAATCTGCATGAACAAACAAAGAATACTATTAAAAGAATCTCATAGCATTTTGACATTATGACAGATTCTGAACAACAAGAGTTACACTAATTAAAGAATTAACAAAAGGAGAAAAGAAAAAAATTCTTAATTACAAAAAGTTGTAAATGGAAGGGAATTTACCTGACAAAGAAGAAGAAAAAGAAGAAGAAGAAACAGGGATAGGAGTGGAAATCTTGAAAAAGAAAAATTGTATAGAATGAAATGTTTAAAAGATGAAATGAGAGGAGATATAGAAGGTTTATATAGAGAGAGATACATAAAACGGACAATGTAACACTTTTTAGATTGATCAGACACTTGGATTGTTCTTCTTTTTTAAGGAATCTCAGCTTCCAAAATTATCTTTCAGTTACTACAATAAGTTGACGTTTATTAGGACCCGTGCATGGTGGCCAACCTCAATGTCATATTCTCTCTGTTTCTTTTTCTTTTTTTGTTTTTTTTAATGCATTTTTTATTTTCCTTTTTTTGATTTTAATTTTATGTTGTATGCGGCTAGTTAACGGTGTAAAAAACTTTTTTACAAATAACAAAGTAATAAATCCTCCCGTTTTCATCTTCTTCCGACTTCCCTTTCGGTTGCTCTCTCTCCTGTTTAATTTTTCTCTTCGACTTCTTTCAACAGTGTTTAAGTAGATCCCTGTCTTCTTCAACTTCTTTGATCCTACACTGTAATTTACTTTTGCAACTTCAGTCGAGAAAAAGACAACTGGAAGGCTTCTAAATTAGCAAGCACAAGTTCACATGGTACGTATCCTTTTGCACCTCAATGATGGATTAACCCGAGAGACAAATTCGTGAGGTCTGTTAGGCCGATGTGGACAATACATGCCATGAGCTTGAATTATATGACTTTTCATCTATAATAGTAGATTAGTCACCACTTCCACTAGATTACCAATTAATGCTCATCATAAAGACAGACATATAAGTGATCAAATTGTGTAAATACATTTTACACCTTCAAAGCATAGAACTTGAAACTTTTTTATATTTGAGTCCAGCTTAAATAAGCTGATGAAATACACAAGGACTCTCTTAAAAGGATGAAAGTCACAAGAGCTGGTCCCAAAAGAGGATGGCATTGGAAGATAGTTACATTGCTAGGAAATTTCAAGGATTAGAAAACATGCGAGTAATAGCTAGAACTAAAAGAACAAGGCAGGGTGGGGAAAACCTATGTTACTCTGACTCTGCAAAAATGTTGTTGGGTGTGTGTTGTATCCTCCAAACGTAGTGCATTTTGGGAGGATCTGACATGGGTGCGGCAGCATTTTTTTGAGTGTCCGCACAACATAGGAAAAAACACATCAGCTGTATATGGAAAACCAGCTGATAAATGGTACTCACATTCTAAAGATTCATGCTGAAGAAAATATACAGAAGCAAGGACTTTAATTTAGTGCCAACTGATGAAGAGTTTATCAACCGTCTATGGAAAACCAGATCATAATGCTGCTACTAGCATTCTAAAGATTCGTATCGCAGAATAGATACAGAAAAAGAAGCAAGGACTCTATTCTAGTGTCAGTTGATCATTAACTTTTCATCTAACACAATAATCCTATCATTGAGAACATCATGAGTCTTGGTTGGTATATAGCTTTACTTGTCTCGGCCAAACTTGGCCATAAACGTCTTTCTTGGTATATCGCCGATCCCATGACCAAGGAATATCTGCATTTAACAAAAAATGTAGTGAGCTTGATGTTGTCGCAGAGGAGCATATAATGGGAGTCTAATAGAAAAGCAGAGCTAAGACCTTCAGCGGAATATGGTTTTGGAGGAAGCTCATAAGGCACGGGCAACTTTAGTACTTCAGAATAATCATCATTTCCCTTTCCTTGCCAAGCTAGAGTTACCAGCTTTATTCTGTTCCCTTCGTGCATACTAGTTTCGTCCTGTAAATTCAAAGAATCAAAAGCCGGACGATACATATCAAGCTAATAAAGCATAAATATAACACGAAAAACCTAGATTATAGTCGTACCTCTGATGAATAACCATTATCTGTACAAGAAAATCCACAGCCACGTTTAACAGAAGATGGCAAAAAGAGCACCCCTAGCTGTCAAGGACAGAAATGAGCTATAATCAGTCATTTTTGCAAGCTCAACTCAAGATGAAATTAAAGGATAAACAAGATATCAATATTAATCCATGAGAACTATTACCAGAAAAAGATATGATTCAACTTTGGGGAAAATGGGCAAAGGGGTTCTCCACGTCTGCAGAGGCGGATCTATAGCTCAATGTATGGGGCACGTGAACCAATGGTCTCTCTGACAAACTAGGTATTTTATGTACATATTTTTTAGAATTGATTTAACATTACCTACTGGCACCCATGCTCTAAAAAGGCTAAATGGCGCACTTGGTTGAATGTTAAGTTATTTACCTAGAGGGGTAGGGATCAATTCCCACTTAATACTTTTTATTTTTTCCCTTTTTTTAGTGATGCACCCATGTTATAAAAATCCTAGATCCGGCTCTGCGTGTCCGCATACGTGACAGTGGTTTATAGCGTCGGGATTGATTAAAATGCACATGAGGACAGCAATTGACAAAATGGGGCAAAAGAACAGCAAGTTCATTCTTGTTGGCAAAGTGTAATGGAAGGCAAAAATAAGTAATAGTTGATAGTTTAGGTGATGCCATGTGACCAGGAGGTCACGGGTTCAAGCAGAGGCGGACCCAGGATTTGAGCGCGACGGGGGCACCACTAACCTTAAATATGCCAATAATTAACGATAAAATTTTGTGTGCAGTTCTTTAAGAAACTAATAAGTATGACAACTTATCCGCAATATATAAACAATCAGAAATTTTTAAAGAAAGAAAAAGCATTAAGCAAAGAGTGAAAAATTACTTTGCAAAATAGGTGCCATAGGAAGCAATGTTGATAGAAGCGGTGTCGCCGACACTGCTTCTTTAATTTTTCTTATTATATATATAGGTAAGTAATATGCAAAAATAAACATTGTTATCAGTGTTTTGTTATAAAGTATTTTGACAAAACTGATTTACTAGGTATGTAATGAAGTCTTCAATTTTGAAGTAAGAGGCCAAGGTTTCGAAACCTGCAAGGTTAAAAGGACAGAAACTATCATTGAATCCAAAAATGTAAAAGAAAACAAAAGAAGAAAGAAAAAACTGCTAATTCTGCTTGAACTAGGTCTCGAACACTAGACCGAATGGTAAGGAGAGCTGGAAGGATGCTTAAACTAGCAGCTCAACCACTGCTGCCATCCAGCTTTTGTTTTTCAGGGGGCCCAAGTAAATTATTTAAGGGGTCCTATCTGGATATACAGTACACATAAAATCTATTTATACATGGTTTTTGCCGAAGCTAACGGGTTCCGGTGACCCCTCTAATGACCATGTAGGTCCGCCTCTGGGTCAAGGCGTGGAAACATCATCTTGTAAAAATATAGGGTAAGGATACTTACAATAGACCTTTATGGTCCGGCCAGCATAGCGGGAGCTTAGTGCACCGGGCTGCCCTTTTTTTTTGATAGTTCAGGTGCAAATTTGGAACTTTTTACTAATTACGTATCATCGGTATCTATGTCAGTTCGTCTCTTGAATGCTTCTAGTCTCTCACAGAGAAACAAAAATACCTCGTAGGAGCGAATCATCAACTGAGAATTATTTTTCTGAAGACTTCCCCAGGCAGCTTTGCTGAGATTTGACGAAGTAAGCAATAACCACCTGTTTTATCAGAGAAATAAGACGAACATTAACAAAAGCAATCATGTAACATTGAAGTCTACCGGGGAAATCAAATCTCCAAGCAGAGTCTCAGGAGTCTTACGCTAATGATTGACCGTTGTAACGCAGAAACGTCTTGATATGAGGCATTGCACGACTGAAGCATTAGAAGAACAAAAGATAAGTATCCTTTCTCCAGAAAATCAATGAAAACAATAGCTAAAGTTCTTGATATATGAGGAATAGATGTAAACAGGTTTTTGGAAAAAAATTTATGCATGTGATTATGCATCTGCATGTCCACTAGAACCATTGATCCTACAGCAGCTACGCAATGATCCTCGTCCGTGCGTTGTTATGTTACTCGAAACATTGGACAACTACCACATCATATTACAAGTAAGATATATTGTATGAGTTTATAATAGTCCATTAGCAATGTATTCCGCAAAGCATACAGCCGAAGTAGGATAAAAGTAGAGACAAGTTTATAAAAGGTTATGCTAGTGCGACTGCCTTCATTGCCACCACAATAGTACATCCACAACTATAAGCGCTCTTTCACCACTGCCACCACTTTGCTCCCACCTATCCCAGTCATCTCTCATCATCATGATTTTAGTTTTTTTTTTTTTTTTTTTTTTTCATTAATACAACCAAGAAAAGACATTCATCTAATCTATAACGTTGAACAAGAACAGGCTCAATTGGTACTACCAGATCAAGATTCCAAAATATATTCTGACTAGTTAACTTTGACGTGAAATTTACATTAATACAGGCCCATGAGCAAAATCAGTTTTGACAATGTTTTAGGTTGAAAATATTTCCAGTTTTGGCTCCATTAAACGGTCTCAAGGAGCTCTCCGATGTAGTAATGATAGCTTCAGTCAATTACGTGCTCTTAAAATGACTAGTATAAGATGTTTGGCAAGCCCGAAACCTTAGGCCAGGTCATTAAAAAGAAAAAAGAAGAGAACTCGTGATAATTCAGGTATGCAATTACTTAACATGGCTATGCCTGATTTTCTATCACTGTGACCCCTAAGTGATTACTCAGTAAAATTGTAGAGTTCGAAGCTTTGAAGGATGCATCCATAGGTTTAGGAATTTATGAGAGAAATGCACGGGCTTCAAAGGATCTAGAATATTGCATTGAAACTTGTATTTAGAAGATTTGTAAGGACACTATACCAACGACCAGTGTGGCTAGCCTTCCATCTAGCCCAGTACTTCTTCAGAAATTCTTTCTCCACATTTTTTAATGGGCTTGGAACGGCATTTCCAGCTGCGTATCCCTACACGATGAAGCAAGATGCACTAAAATTCATGATCACAAATGAAAGGAGGAGTTAAGTCTCACCTATGAAGCTCAGTAAGTATCTAAAATAGCAAGCAAATGGAGGCATGCACTATAAACTTCGCTTTAACTTGTCAGGTATTTCAATCACATCTATTGCAAATTTCAACTGAATAATAAAGACAAGTTTATAAGTATGGTTTTAAGTCCCACTAATAGGCTGTGCAATTTCCTCTTACAACAAGGTCAGGAATCTCAAGATATGAGAACACCAAAAGAATTAAAGCGACTATATAACTTAGGCGAAATAGATAAATAGCCTCATTATGTTGTCCACAACAATCAGATGAATACCTTAACTTGGCATATGACCAGATAGACACCTCTAGTTGGAAGAATTGTATCTCTTAAACCCCTTACGCTGACATGGTAAAATTTGGGTTACACTCAGATCTGAGCGCGTGAATTTCTTTAAAATTAGCTTTATCTTTTTTTTTCTCCCTAAAATCAATATGGACCCCACCTCTTCTCCAAAATTTCCTCCACCGTCTTCTCCACCTTCCACCTCCATGCTAGAAAAAAAGCACATCAAGGACACAGCTTTCTTCACCACCACAATCACTGTCAACCACTAAACAAACCCAAAAACAATATATCTCCACCGTTACACCACCACATAACCACTGTCACTTCCTTCACTTATTGACCCCAAATCTGAAAAACCAAAAAGAACCCATCTAAAACCTTCCAATTTCACCACAATTAGATATGACAGCTGGTTCTTCGCTGGTGATAATATATCAATCAAGTGGGTTGGGACGATTTTTTATTTGGTTGAAGCGGGCTTTGGCGGCCGACGGTGGAAGGGTTGATATACAACCAAATAATTGGGGTGGAGCTTCAAAGAGCAACTAGGAAAAAAAAAAGAACCAAACCCATGGGAGAGCAGCAATGAGATTAAGGAAGAGCAGTAATGAAATCAAAGCTGTGAGAAGGCATGGGAGAAAAATATGTTATTGATATTGGATGATAAATACAATACAAGAGGTCCCTATTTATAGCTATACACTACAAGGAGATATTACTCCTCTTCCAATGTGGGACAAGACTACACTACATATCTGTAAACTAACACTTCCCCTCAAGCCGGTGCATACACATCATATGTACCGAGCTTGTTACACATGTAACTAATACGAGAACCAGTAAGAGACTTAGTGAAAATATCTGCTAGTTGATCATTCGACTTTATAAACTTTGTAACAATATCTCCTAAAAGTATTTTTTCTCTGACAAAGTGACAGTCGATCTCAATGTGTTTAGTCCTCTCATGGAACACC